AGAACCTCGAGGCTGAGAAGTGCACGGTCACCCTGCCCTGCCTACTGCGCCCGGCTTCCCACTCCAGCTGGCGGCTCCGGGATCGCACCCGGGCGGGGCAGGGGAGCGCTGCCTGGGAGCCCCGTGACCTATTTCGTTTCTGTGGTCTCCCTGGGGAGTCCTAGTCTCCGGGGACCCGGCTTCTCCACCCCTTTCCCTAAGCTGCTGCGTCCATGGCCAAAAGGATGGCTCAGGGTCCTGTTCAGACAGCGGAGGGATGCTGGGAGGGCAGGTTAGGTACGCTGATCTTTCAAAGCAAAACACTCCACCAGCTTTTGTACTTTACGGTCCGCCCGTCGCACCCAGATCTGAAAAGGGCCCCCTTCCTTAGCGGCGTCCTGGACCCGGTTCATTAACTACAGAGATGCTGCGGGCCCCGCAGATCATCATCGTCGTTACCAAACTGCACTTATTAAGTGCTCTTTGAGCTATGTTTTCAAGTGGAAACCATTTACTGAGTTCTTGCAGAAGCTTCCTGCAGACGCTGGCCACAGACCGATTCATTTAGGTACTGAAGTGGCACTGTTCATTTATGTTTCCATTTTACCACACCAATAGATTTTAAAATTAAGAACCCAGTGGCCGTCTGTTATGAGCACGGTGTCTCCGCTGAATACAAAAACCAGAGTGTCTGATGGATCTTAAGTTTAAAGATGATTCCCGTGGGAGAAGGCATGATCTTCTTGTCCGGTCCTGCCAGTGCTGAAGGGTTCCCTACTGCCTGTGTGCGCAATTTCCAAGGGGTCCTGTGTGGATGGAGATGGTCTGCAGGGCGTGCCCCTCAAACTCCTTTCTACAGGGGCATCATCTTCCACCTGATGGGCCTCCCCCTGGTGCTGTCATTCCTACCCCAGCCAGACAGGCTGAGCCTCAGCCACCATTGACTCTTCCTGCCATCTCTCCGTTCATCCCTCAGCTCCTGACTCCCAAGGCTGCCCTAGCTCTCCGATACTCATCACCTCTCTGGTCGAGGCCCTCCTCATCTCTCGCCTGCATTTCTGGTTCCCGCCTGCCTCCCTCTTCTCCCACAGGCAGCAACGTGTCTCCCTCTCCATGTCTCATCTGCCCATGTCCAAGTTTTTCGAAATCAAGATGGAGTCATTCGGTGTCAACTCTGACGACACCATGCTGGGAAGGCCATGGACGAGATGCTTTCTTGTGCCAGGATGCCTGCTAACAGCAATTGTCAACTGAAGAACTCTGCCAGAACCACACCTTGAGCAAAGACCACCACTGCCCTACACAAGAGCTACTTCTGTGAGAACATCTGCTCAAACTGCTCGTCTACCCTGGACGGGCACCACTCCTGTTCCTATCCTGTCACAGATAGCTGTCCCAAACAACAGGTATAATCCTCTTTCCTCCGCTCCCTTCCTGCTTGTGGTGTTCGCCTATAAAACCTGTCTGAGGGGGATCAGCTGATGGCATAATGGTTATGTTGCTGGACTCCCACATAGTCAACGGTGGTTCGAGTCCTAGACCCGACGGCTTAAAACAAGCCAGGCGCACGCCACAAGTGCCCAAAATCCCTGGGGGAGAATGGAGAAGGGATTGCAGCATGGCCATCTCCTTTGGGGACATGATTGCTTTCTCTCTCTCTCTCTCTCTCTCTCTCTCTCTCTGTCTCTGTCTCTAGCAAGCACACACACCCTATAGCAAAAAATCCCCCCCCCCAAAAAAAAAGAAAAAATACTGTCTGAGGACTGTAGACCTCCGTGAGCACATTTAGGGCAACTTGAAATATATCCATCCAGGCTGCATGCTGGCTGCAGTCCTCAAATGCTTGCCCAAATAAACTCCTTTTGCTTTACATACTTGGACTCAGTTTCCTTTTTCAGGTTGACAAAAGCCTCCTGCTGATTGAATTTTAACCTCCACAGGTTTGGCTTCAGAACTCAGAAGTTTTATTTCATTATCTGGTGTCCTGTTATGTCCCCCTACAGGCTCAAAGACTCTTTCTGGGTCTAGTTCCCTGAGACAGTGCTTCTCAAACTTTATCGTGCCAGTAAAGCACCTGGCTCACAAAGCCATAGTGCTGGGAACCCTCTTCTCCGGCAATGCTGAGATTGCTGGTCCACTTATCATGTTTTGAGAAGCAAGGCCCTCTGGAATTTTAGGAGTCGCTCATACATGACGAGGAGGCATCAGACACCTGTACATCCCAAGAACCATGCTGAAGGTGGGATGTACAGCCAGTAAATCATGAGCTCTGTGCTCACAGGCCTGTGTAGTCATGGTATGTGTCAACAATAGCAGAGAGCAAATGCAGCAGCAAAGAAGTGAGCACCCTTGTCTCAACATCTACATGGTAAATCAGAGCATTTGTAAAATCAGGTGATGGAAAATGAATAGCCACTTGGTGGCATGGTGGTTGAGGTGCTG